GGGTAGCAGATTCCACGAGAAACCTCAAGCTGACTGTGTTATGATGTTCCCACCAGTGGAAAAAAAACAATTTTGAATAAACCACATTCTAGAGTGGATTAGAATCCGATCCCGCATGCTCCTGCAGACAACAACTTCTATAGGGAATAGTAGAACTGTTGCGTACGTAGATCTTTAGGTCCCTCCTAAGAGGCTTCCATCCAATTACTCTCCGGCCCACGACGCGCCCAACCCCGGTACCGTCCGGCCGCGCCCAACGCGCTGGGGACCGGCGCGGTGCCCATCCGAGGGCACAGCCACGACGCTGCCGCCGATCTGAGACTTCTGCACCTTGGGCCCCAAGGCATCAGGCTGAAGCAGTCAGGGTGAATGGGGTGGCTGAAGCGGTCAGGGTGCAAGCCATGTTGCAGGGCCGGCAATCATCCCACTCACCGGAGCATCTCCTCAAAGGCTGTGCCGCAGTTGCGGAGGTGGATCATTTCGACCTGAAATGAGCTGTGAAAGGAATCTTTGGAGTCCCCTAATTCCTTCTTTAGAGAAATTTCTCAGCCTGTGACCCTTCTAGTGAACCGATCCCAGAGTTCTGTGCCCAAATTTTGCAGTGGGGGCATGTTGGGTGACATGGAAGTCCGAATTTGGTGCAGTAGGAACCTCTTCCATCAGCATTGCTTCAGCTCTTGTCAGCGTTGCTTCAGATAGCCCCCGAAGTAACGCTCCTGGCGAAGATTTCGCACCGTGACGTGCCGTGCCCCGCACGACCTGGCCTCCGTCTCAGGTCCAATGAATCTCCGGTCGATCGCCGATGGTTTCACCCGCGACGACATGAAAGGTCCAACAGGCACTGTAGAGTAGCTTGTACTCTAGAACTATATATAGACCCAGATGTGCGCACACAACAAGCAGATCTGCAAGCCGAAGAAGGAAGCCCCCAAGTATTGAACTATTGTTTGACATGCCATGAACCAAATATGAACTTTGCTTCTTATCTAGTTGCCATGCCACCGTAATGAAGATCAAGAAACGCCACACCGGGGGCGAATTCGGTGGAGAAAAGCGACGTTTCACCGCCCCTGGCGCCGAGAAAAGAGACCAACCGGTGGACCGACTCGAACGGTGGGACGGTGGGATGGAAGCACCGTTTGGGAATGAAGACCAGGTCCATTCTCGGATGTGAAGGCCAATTCTTTGGTTGGAACTTCCCCAATCTCGGAGAAACATGGATGAACAAGAAGCTACTAGGAACAAAGACGCTACTAGTAGCTCCTGGCCTTACTACTAGTAACAAGAAGCTACTATGGCCTTACTACTATAGTAACAAGAAGCTACTATTACTAGTAACAAAGGGCAATGAAGCCAGAGAAATCGGAACGGTGTCCGCCGAAAGGAAAGCCGGTTACCCAACTGGCACCGAACGCCCCAGTTTTGGCATGGCACGCGGGGTCATGCCGCGACAACACAAGCAGTGGTGGTTTGTTGTCACCGATTGTCGGGACAACTTGTTGGCCACAAGTGGATCGAATGGTTGAGAGAAGAAAGACAAGAAAAGGATAGAAACGGCATGCTTGTTTGTGTGATCAACAAGTTCAGTGACAAATAGTGTTTTTAAAAGGTGGATCCATGAAAGGACAGTGAGTGGATGTTTCATCATTTCTTCATTGATGACTCCTTTGTCTTTGCATGTTCATCAACACTGATGGCTGCCAAGATGGCCTCCAACTACCAGGTCTACTCCCTTCTGTACGTTGCTTCTGGGCGTTGGATCCCGGGCCTGCTTGCCATGAGTCCAGTGCATTCCGCCCAAACGATGTGAATCCCGGCAGACTTCCCCGGCGGGTCTTCGCAGTCCAGGCAGCCGGTGGATGTTCAAAAGGAATGGGAGGCTGGGAGGGTGTTGTGAAGAAAAGATTGTATGACCAACCAATGTATTAAGACTGTATCATTTGATAGATTTCCAAGATTGATTGAACGTTTGTAATCTCCCTTGGTGAGCATTTGTGTAGGCTCTCCCCTTTAGTTCCAGTGTTCGTGTGTATCCCGCAGCTGTTCATGCAGGAAATAGTGTACCAAAAGAACAGTCAGTGAGGAGTCACAGCATTTGCTAAGACAAAGTGCTTCCTGAAAGCACTCAAAAACGAACATCCAATGCCAGGCGGGGCATTGTCTTCGACAAACAGGCTTCACTGTTCATGTTGACAAGAAGAACGATGGTAGAACCTGGATTACAGCTATAACTGATGTTGGTTTATGTGAAAAAATAAACACCCTCAGCCGATGTTACTTGCTGAGTTCAGCCACAACTCACCGATGTCATGGGGCTGAGCCGATGTCTTCTGCTTCTGGTCGCTACACCGCCCTTGGGCTGCGCAGCCCGCAACGCGGACGGCGGCAAGGAGGAGGTTCCCGAAGGCTTTGAGGATTGTCGCTTCGCTTTGAGACCTTTTGCTGTGGAGCGGAAGGGAAGTGATAAGGATAGTGAGATAAAACAACCAGAGAACTTGGGTTTTGTGATCATTTCAAAGGGCAACCTCGTTTGTGGTTGTTTTTGAAGAAAGGTTCAGTTTCTGGAAAGTGTTTGACCCCCTCCAATCAAGAAGAAGTATTACCTCCCTTGCTTTTGGATGCCTTTGTTTGATCCACATCGCCGATATCGGCCCAGGTTGGCACACCGCGACAAAGGAACAGAAGGAGTTCTGCTGCTTCAGCAACTGGGAGGGACCGCCCTGCTTCGACCGACTCTTCACCAAGGCGGGAAGAGTGGTCAAAACCAACTCCCAGGCTACGGTCGTTCTGCATAGCATCCACATATCTTGCTTGTCTAACGGTGCTACAGTGCTACTTGTCATAGCGTGTTTTGAACTTTTTCGTATTCTTGCGAACTTTTCAGATTGACATGGTCATTATCTCATTCAGTGCCAGCGGAAACCCAAGGGGCTGTTACGAGACGA